GAGATGCTGCTGTAGGATGGCAGCAGTGAGAGTCCTGGTGTCCAGTGCCACTCTGTCCCTGGCATTGTGCCACAGCTGGTGGGCTCTGTGCCATCCTGGAGTCACAGAAGCCCAAAAAAGTGGAAGATGGGGATGCTCAGGGTGTCACAGCTCTGCTCAGTGCTGGCATTTCCACAGAGCATGGGCTGGGAGAAACCACTTGGCTGCTGTGGGCCTCTCCCCCAGCCCCCCACAGCCCCCACATCCCAGTGAGACCCTGAGCAGCAAAATAATCACTTCCAGCATCATTATCCGTCGCAAACCCCAGCTTCCAATTTTAATCAGAGGAGCTGGTGTTGCTTTAAGATCTGCGGGTTTTAAAGATCACAAGAGGGGTTAGAGAAAATTACCCTTGACTCTTACATGCTAATGTAATCTCTAACCAGATCTGCAGCACTGCAGCTAAAATTGCTTTTTAGATTAACATTTAATTATTAACAGGGCCCCCTGAAAGGCCTGGGGCTGGAGCACGCGGAGGGGAGCGGATTAGCCAGGCGGGATGAGGGAAGGTCGGGCGAGGGAAGGTCGTGGGGTGACCGACAGCACCTTTGGTGACAAACTTTGGGTTTTATTTTGCCTGATAAAATGTGCTTCAGAGTGGGGTGACCTTTCTGTGCTCGCCCCTTGTAGGGCTGAGCTGCGGCATCCCCTCCACCCTAAATCTGGATGGGAGATGGGTACGGCAGTGCCAGGCAGCAGCACCAGCCAAAATCCTGCTTGCCCTGCAATGGGGTGGGCATCCACTGTGTGCAGAGCGGAATCCTTCCTCCTCTGGCACCTGCTCACCCTGGCCATCGGATGGGGAATCGGTGTCCGTGCCACCAGCGGTGGTGGCGGTGATGGGGGCGGTGAGAGGGAGCACCGATGTTGCTGGGGCTGTGAGGAACGGGAGCTCTCTGCTGCTGTGGTTGGATTCTCCTCTGTCCCTGGAGGGATGAGGGACAGGGTGTTCCCAGTTGTACTTCGGGTGTACTCTGCACACCAGGGGCCAGTGAGGGCTTTTGCTTTGTTTCTTTGGTTGCTGCCAGCCTTGGCCTCGCCCCACGCTGTCCGTGTGTCCGTCTGGCGCTGTCAGGAGCCTCCTGTGCCTCTCCCAGCCAGGGTGACCTCTTATCTCCTGTCCTTGTGCCAAACCCGCTGCTAGCTTTTAACAGCCAGGGGGAACATGGCCATGGTGTGACTCAAACAGCTTTGCAGCATGCCTGCTCCTGCCCCCCTTTCCCCTCCTAACCCCAAAAGCTCCCTTTTTATGGGATTGCACCCCGATAACACCTGGGGAAGGATCTGGACATGTTCCACCACAGCCTGGATGGTGACCAAGACCTTGTCCCTCACCGTCCCTGCCCTGCCACAGCTCAGCAGCTGCACAGACCCACTTCAGGCTGAGACTTTAAAAGTTCCTTTTTTCTTTTTCTCCCCCCTCCCGTCACATTTTCTTTTATCTAAATCCTCGCCTGCAAAAGCCTCTATCGACAGCTGCGCTGGCCTTATCTCGCCGGAGGGACCTTCGCAGGGCTCTCGGAGGAGATAAGCCCGACTTATCAACTGCTGATGTCAGAGGAGGTGCCAAACCCTCCCATCACTGGGGCTTTAGACATAGAGGGTGGTGTTTTTTATTAAAGTCACAAAGACCTTGGGCTTATAAATAGTGCAATGTTGAGATGGATTAGCTGGGTGTGGGGCAGGATGGAGGGGTGGGAGAGGGGAAGGATGGAGTTGTGGCTCCTCCATCCCTAGAAGCGTTCAAGGCCAGGTTAGACAGGGCTTGGAACTTGGGCTTTAACGTCCCTTCCAACCCAAAACATTCTGTGAATCTGTGATGCCACAGTTGTGGGATGTGGGGTTGGAGCTCCTGTGGGATCTTGCTCCAGATGTCCCCAAGGGACCCCACTGTTGGTGGGACTCACCCTGTGCCCCAGTGCTGGATAGTGGTGGGTCCATGGGCACAGCCCGGGCAGAGGCCGTGCGGACTTGGGGCATTCCAGCAAAACTGCTGAGTGTTGCCTTTCCTGCCACGAAAGAGCCAGAGCAGCTTGAACTAAATCGGATCCTGCTGATTGGAATTAGTTCAAATGCAGATGGAGCTAACTAAGCCGGCGCTAAGCGTTGGACAGCCCAGCGCCCAATTCCCATCAGCTGATTCAGGGGCTTTTTGGAGCAGCATTAGCGAAATGCCACCGTGGCACAGATGCCCATTGTGCCAGGCGCCCACCCGCTCGCCCACGGGCCTTCTGGGGCTTGGGGCTCCCAGCAGGGTGCCTGGGTGGACAGATGGACGCTGTTCTGGGGCCGTGGCACCGGAGCCTTCCCGGTTCTGAGCGTGCCTCTGAGGGTGGGGTGCGGCGCAGCGGAGCTGTCGGAAAAATCATCTCGGCTGTGAGACGCCGGGAGACGGGGGCAGCGGCAGGGCCTGAATTAATGGGTGGCTTTATTCAGTTTGGCGTGTGGCTCCCGCGCCTCTCCCGCCCGCTGCCGACCGCGATCCGTGCCCAGGGTCGGGATGGCTCCGGGAGAGAGCTGGGCTGTGCGTGGCAGGGCGCAGAGAGCAGTGCTGGGGGTGTCCCCAGGGACCTGCTGGGCCCTCAGGGTGCCCTCAGCTCCTGTGCCAGGTGGCATCCACACCCTCCCTGTGCCAGCACGTGGATTCGGTGACGCCCTGGGTGCTTCCTCCTCACCCCACGTGCCCCAGGGACCACCAGGGATCCGATCAGCATCCGGCAGTGGCACGAGCCGCCCACGCCGCCCGTGTCTGCCAGGGACAGGGGTCAGTGTCCCCGCCAGGAGCTGCCTCGGCGCAGGGAGCGGGTGACGTCCGCCGCTAATCGGCCAGATGGTGACACCCGGCGGGACGCCAGCCCTGAGGTCACCGCGGAGCTCGGGCTCAGGTACGGCGGGAGCCGGTGCCGTCATCCTTCCCCTGCACGGCCTTGGGTGCTTTGAACCAGGGCCACCCCTCGGGGACAGGGATGGGGACGAGGTTGGGGTCATGGAAAATCCGGGCGCTGGGCACGTGCCGGGGGAGCCAAGGCGCCGGGAGCGGGGCTGCGTAATGAACCCCGAGTCCCGGCGGGGAGAGGAGAACTCCTGGCAGTCAAGTGCGCTCAGGCTCTGAATAAGAAGCACTTCATTCTCTTTTCAAACTGTATAATTTCTGCCTGATTGTAATGGCATATTTTAAAATTACCAGAAATCGAAGCCAGAAAATGGATACGGCTGCTTTTACTGCGAGCTGCGTTAACAAAGGATATGTAATGCATGAAATAAAAACACCTCCCTGCCCCCCTCCTTTTTTTTTTTTAAGACAGTAATAGGAGAAAATTGGTTTTGAAACTGAATAAAAGTCCCTTTCAGAGGAAATCATTTCTTTCAGGGTACCTTTGCTGAAAGTAAAATAGTGAATAATGAAAGGTGGTTACATGATTGTCTTTCATTTAGAGAGCGCGAGGACAGATGGAATCTGGGAGAAATGCACGATTGGAATAATTGCACGGTAACAAGGCGCTTGTTGTGAAATTAGTATCTTAAGAAAGTAGTGAAAAAGGCTTTTACTCATGAATACTTCATTATTAGGAGAAAACAGCACAATTTGGGTTCTCCAGACACCTGCTCGGTATTAGATGACTTCCTCCCCTCCTCCTCCTCCTCTTCCTCACTCACACCTTTTGCCGACAAGTCTCTCCTTGTCTCTGGTTTGCTGGGGGAGTCGGGATGAGACCCTGAGCCTGATGAGCCCAGCGAAGGCATGGACACCCTGAATGGATCCCATCCTGGGGATTATCCCAGAGCCTGGCACCCCCTGCCTGGTGGAGGGCACAGAGCAGGAGCGAGCAGTACAGGTCCTGTGGTGTCCTGTCCTTCGTGGTGGCTACGAAGCTGTTTTGAAAGGTGACATTTAAACCAGCAGAGCTTGGGGAGCCCTGGGCACAGCTTGGGGAGCATCCATCCATGCTTTGTTTCCTGGTGCTGATGGTCACAGGCTCTGCCAGTGCCTGCCTGAGACCACCACACTCCTGAGGCCACCACACCACATGCACTGGGACATGCGGGAAGCATCCCAGATGGCTGCAGGAGGGCTCGATTCCCCCACAGCAGAGAAGAAGGAGTGATGTACCCAGCGGTGACACCCATCCATGATGTCCAGTTGTGACCCCCAGCCATCCATAAACCAGCCTGACAAACTGAAACCAGCTGAAACGCTGGCGGATGGGCACCACGCCTGCTTTTCTGCTGCTCCTGCCCACGTCTCCCTGCACTCTCCGAGTGGGAATACCGCTCCCTGCGCCAGCTGGAGCAGTGGGAGGGTGTCAGCAGCAACTGGTTATAACTCGGGGTGCCGGCAGCGGCTGGGCAGGGATGTACAATGAGAAGCACCACGGTGACGACGACGTTGGCCTGGCCCCTCCAGCTTTTGTCGAGCAGATTTTGATGCCAGCTGGGGAGCTGGTGACAGATCCCAGGACCCCGAGTGGGATGTTAACACTGTCTTTCCCCAGCCTTGTCCGGGGTCACCCCTTGAGGCTGGCACCGGCTGGCACGCCGGCAGAGCGATCTGGCACTGCCGGGACACCCCGGCTCTGCCACATTCCCGGTGGGAACGGCAGAAAGCTCTGCAGGAAGCTCAAATCACCCGCTGAGACCTTCATATTTATTTTATATACATCCCTATTCATTTCAGGCTTTCAGAGTTAGTTATCTCCAGAGGAGCAAAAGCACTGAGTGCTGAGGAGCTCCTGCCGGGTGGGCGCGGGGGTGGTGGCAGGGGGTGGTGGCAGGGGG